GCCTATATTAACAGACTTTTTTTAAGCAAATAAATTACTTGGGCTAAAGTTCAAACATAGGTAAAAAATAAATAAATACTTTTCTAGTTAATTTGTTGCAACATAAAAACTGTGTTTACTTTGTAATTAAAAACATAAATATTCCTAAACAGTTATAGGATACATTAGATATGTTAGTATCATTATTTACACAAACTTGTCATAACTTTTATTCTCAATCTGTCACCAGCATTTAAAAGTAGAAAAGAACAGTGTATCACACAAGTTAACCATGGCAGGAATTACATGAATTTTGGTTTCACAAAAACTTTTTTCAGGTTTGTCCTGCTGGTACATGGCATACAGTACACTGAAAAAAACATTTATGCACTAATCTAGATTGTTTTCTATAGGGAGCAGAAAGCATCTAAAAATGGCAAAATGGTTCAAGGAATATGGAAATGTGGGGCAGAAGAAAAAATGGAGAGGACATAAAGACCGAAGGAAAGGCAGGGACAAACAGTAGCAAAAGACAAAGTAAACGGGAAAGGCACAGAGGACTGAAGGAAAGAAAATCCAGAAAAAAAGGAAAAGGGATAAGTAAAAATGAAGACTGCATGAACAGGGTGGGAGCTCTGCATTTCACTATGCTGGAACAGAAAAAAGATGAGATAGAAAGGAAGGAAAAAGCAAGGGAAAGTAAGGTAAGTACAATAGCTAGATATTTACAGAATGTACGAAGGACAGACAGAAAGACAGAAAGAAACTGAGACAGACATGGAGGTTTTGGTAGCACTTAAAGGGCTCCAATAAGGATCAATTTTGCAGGCAGGCGCGAGGTCAGGTGACTGGTTTCTCATATCGTAAGCTTATAAAAACGTTTATTAGTGCTAGCTTGCTCTACACAAACCTCGTTAATAAAACAATACTAAACCGATAGATTAAACAATCCACATGGTATATTTTTCATTCACTTTGATGAAGTCGAAGGTCTCCGCCTTCACCGCTGAATGCACGCGCGCTCCCGCGGCAGGTGAAACACTTTCTGACGGGGATAACGACCTTGGCACGACACCGGCAGCTGAATCGCCTGCCGCTCCGGGTGACACGGCTGCAAATGACTACAGTTTATACAAACTACAGAAAATGAGCCCGATGAGGCTGATGTTAACGTAACGTTACATGGTGAGTGAAAGTAGCAGATCATTAATGTTATAACGGAACTGTAACAGCACTGTTGGTATATTGAATTGCACCTAGAACTACTTAACTAACGTTAAAGTGGTGGATCAATGAATGCAGGATACTGTGTGTGTGTGTGTGTGTGTGTGTGTGTGTGTCTGTGTACAGTTAGTAGCAGTTCCTGGGTGCTTGCTCATTCATTTAAGCTGATACAGTAGCTACGTTTGACAATGGTTTTGGACGATAAGTGCGCTTGAGATGATGTGGACCACTTTTTGTGTCCTCACAAATAATATTATGTAATGAATGAGTTTTGGTGATAGAACTGCACATAGGCCTATATTCATTGTTATTACTGCTGAGCCTTAGCTTTTCATTATTGTTAATAGTTGCAACTTACACTCTTAAATGTGCATTGAAAATTGAAAAAACCTGTGCTCCAGGGACCAGATTCATGTAACATCTAAGGCTTCATGTAGCTCTTAACTGGCTGAGTTAGATGGTGATTAACACTAAACATTAGAAAATCAGTCTATTCTCCCACCTGCATAGGTGTCATTTACACTGGGGACGAGTGAAACATGTCCCCACCACTTTTTGAAAGCATTTGTTAAAAGTGTTCTGAAAAATAGCTTGCAACAAGAAATGTTAAATAAAAAATGTGAGTGATATGCAATGCAATGTAAATATAGAGAAAAAAGCAAAACAATTTACTGATTATTGCATTATATTCCATTATTTTTATATTCTGAATTGTCACCTGCCACCTGAATTTTGTGTTCCCCTTTATATAAATAAATTGGAGCAGAAAATGTCTCCAGAATGCAGGAAATTAAGTGTTTAAGATCAAAAGATGAGACGAGTTCAGAATTTCAGCTCTCATTTCCTGGTATTCACATCTAGATGTGTTAAACAACTTAGGACATATCACCCTTTGTATTAGACCACCCATTTTTCAAGTGAGCAAAAGTAAAGGAACAAATAATCTTAAAGTAAATAACATTTAATATTTGGTGGCATAACTCTTGCTTGCAATAACTGCCTCAAGCCTGCGACCCATCGACATCACCAAACTGTTGCCTTCTTCATTTGTGATGCTATTCCAGGCTTTTACCGCAGCTTCTTTCAGTTCTTGTTTGTTTCAGGGTGTTACTCCCTTCAGTCTCCTCTTAAGGAGGTGAAATGCAGCTCTGTTGGGTTAAGGTCAGGTGATTGACTTGGCCAGTCTGAAACCTTCCACTTTTTCCCCTGATGAAGTCCTTTGTTTTGTTGGCAGTTTGCTTTGGCTCATTGTCCTGCTGCATGATAAACTTCCTCCCCATTAGTTTCAATGCATTTCTCCATAACTTGGCAGACAAAGTGTTTCTGTCCACTTCTGAATTCATTCTGCTGCTACCATCATCAGTTACATCATTAATAAATATTAATGAGCCTGTTCCAGAAGCAGCCATGCACGCCCAAGCCATGACATCACCTCCACCATGCTTCACAGATGAGCTTGTATGCTTCGGATCAGAAGCAGTTCCTTTCTTTCTCCACACTTTGGCCTTTCCATCACTTTGCTAGAGATTAATCTTGGTCTCATCAATCCATAAGATTGCGTTCAAGGACTTTTGTGGCTCGTCTCTGTACTTCTTTGCAAAATTTCACTCTGGCCTTACGATTCTTCCTGCTGATGAGTGGTTTGCATCTTGTGGTGTGGCCTCTATATTTCTGCTCTGAGTCTTCTTCCAACAGTGGATTGTGATACCTTCACGCCTGCACTGTGGAGGTTGTTGGTGATGTCACTCAATGATGTTTTGGGGGTTTTCTTCACAGCTCTCACCATATGTCTGTCATCAACTACTGTTGTTTTCCTTGGCCGACCTGTTGGACGTCTGTTGCTCAGTACACCAGTAGTTTCTTTCTTTTTCAGGACGTTACAAATTGTTGTGCTTGCAATGTCCAATGTTTGTCCTTCGTTCTTTTCTCAGCTTGACAATGGCTTGCTTTTCTCCCATAGACAGCTCTCTGGTCTTCATGTTGGTTTATCCTCCTTAACAGGAAATGCAGTCTTTATAGGTTTGAACCAAGGATGAAAACTTAGACTAGTCATGCAGAGCTATTTAATGTTTGGACAATCAACCTAAAAGGCAACATCTGGGCAGCAAGAAACATCTGTCAGTCACATGTTCCAATAGTTTTGCTCACTTGAAAAATGGGTGGGTTCAAACAAAGGGTGGTATGTCCTGAGTTGTTTAACACATCTAGATGTGAATACCAGGAAATAGAAGCTGAAATTCTGAACTCTTGTCTCATCTTTTGATCCTAAACCCAAATGTCTTCAGGGAACAACAAAAACAAAGGAATTTGCCTTACCGTTCCAACACTTTTGGAGGGGACTGTATTTCCAACGATGAATATTTCTTTAAATAGTATTAATATATCTACTTTACTTATACGATTGGTGGGGTCTGGGAGTCCTCCCCCAGAAGATTTTGGGCATTAAACCCCAGTGTCTTCAGTCAACAACAAAAACAAAGGAATTTGCCTTACCGTTCCAACACTTTTGGAGGGGACTGTATTAGTGAGTGTAGTGGTGCTTATGGGACATCGCTCTGGGACGGGTGAGTATGAGGCTGGGAGGGAAAAATCACAGTATACTCACCACAAAAAAATAGACTACACCACTGCTTCCAACGTGATGCTGTACCAGGTTGCCCTACATGCTAGAATATCTGTTGGCTTACACCTGACTCTTAATGGTGAAAAAGTGAATAGTTCCCTGAGTATTTTTATTACAGAGTTACTAGTTAGACATGAATGCATCAAGAGTTTCTCAGGGCTGATGCTCCACCGCATGCCAGAGTTGCTAGCTAGTAGCTTTTTTCCCCCAGTCAGAGAGACCCAAAAACCCTAACCTTAACCATCCTAAACACCCGAGGCAACATGTAGGCTACTAGCTAATCAGAGGCAGAGTTGTCAAAAGTCTGTTGGGGGTAGAAAAATAAATGGTCAGCTTCTAACTTATTTCTAACTCCACACACCCAGATTCTTTTCATTTTCAAAGTTGTCTTCAGCCCCAAAAGCTCCACAAAAGGCCTTATATTATGTACTCCCTTAAACCTGTAAAAAGACTTTGTTGAGTGAAATTGGAGGGGGGGGGGTTCTCATTTAAATGCATTGTAATTTTGATTATCCAAACCATTTGTTTAAAACTATTTAAAATAAACTATGCTACATGACCTCAGTGTACTTGCATACGGATATGCTGAAAATGAGTTTTCTCTCTATTGGAGTTGACGCATTTCAGGTCAACTTCCTTTTCTCTCAGTGAAGCGCTCCTCTACATTCTCATCTGTCTTTGACTTTTATTGACTTTGCAGAACTGAAAGGTTGTTGAGGTTGGCTTCATGTGTATAAATAAATTGTTGAGTGTTTTTTCTAATACTGACATGGATAAACAACATTTTATACAGACCATATCAACAGTCTTCAAATCTTTGTCTTGTTATAGGAACGGTAGAATCAGTTACCATGTGGATAATATTTTTCTAATATATCCATGTAGGCAACAGTAGGCCTATATACAGTATGTTATTTATCTCACATAAGCCTATGTTATTTTGTTTTATTTTTTTGACACTAAACTTTTTGATATCTTGTTCCATTTATGAATTACATCAGACAAAACTCTTCACACATGAAAAACTTTAAACTCAAGTCATCACTGTGAAGAACAGTTGTAACAAGATGCTGCATTGCCCCGCCTCCAACATCTTTCCACTTCAGTGGATAGTCAAAACAGAAGTGGATTTAAGTGTGCGCCTTACTGTGGAGTTTATTCTCATCACCTTCAGGATTTATTGCCAGACTGTTTATTTTTGTTTAGAAGACTGGAATTCAAAATCATGTTTTTTTGTTTTGTACTTTTGTCTGTTTCTTTGGTGAGTTCTCTGCACAGGCCCCATGTGTCCGGTTGTGGTAAGTATTAGAGTTTGTTTTTTTTAACACGTTGGGTTTTTAAAGCAGGGTTCAAAGCAGCATACATTTATCAGTCATATGTAACAGTCAATAAATATGAATTCAGTATCTTAATTGATTATGGAACTCACAGCGGGACAGATCTCATTAGTGAATTAAATATGAAACTTCATTGATTGATTTGTCAACTGAAATTAGCAAAAATGTAGAATAAAAATATCAAACCATCAGGAATGTTGGTGCTGTGTGCACTCATTATTTTTGGTATTATATTTAGTAAGTATTTATTTTAATGTTATTCAGCTATTTTAGTTCTTTGTTTGAATGAAGGAAACACAATTGACCAAACACAAACAAGTAGGCCCACAGAGTCCACTGATGTTTCTGTTTCTTAAGGCAGAGAGTGAAAATTAGCAGTTCTTTGTCATCTGTTGATGGTGAGGGTGTTGACTAAAGTGTCACGCTCTGCGGGTTCAGGAAGAGTGAGTTACACACATGAAACACCTGGTTAAACAGACAATGAAGTGACTCACTGTTGCTGAAGGTTTCTTCAGACATGAAGAACACCAGAAACTGTAGTGAAATACCTGTGAGAAGTCTTGCAGTAGGTGATAGGCGCCAGCTGGAGTCTGTGATATTATTACAGGATCGGGTTTTGGTCATTACAAGCTCACATCAAAGAGTTCCATACTGGGCTTGCAGAGAAAGCTGCCTCCCGCAATTTATGAAAAGATACTGTATGTTGGCTGTGGTTTTCACTGCAGGTAAACTTCCCAATTTGGACAATAAATCATGATATAAATTAGATTAAATATGTTGATAAATAAATGAATGTGGTAAAAAGGAAACAAGGGAAAAATTATAGAAATACATATAAGGAAATCAATACAGGGGGGAAAATAATATTTATGTTGCCATGTCACTACACTACCCATTTATCAAGATATTTATTCTGTTTGGTCAAAGGTAGGCATATTTATTTATTTGTAATTAATAATGCATGTTTTTATTTTCTGTCACTTTCCGGCCCCAGACAAATTCTCTTACATTTGTGGGAAAATAAACCTGCATTATAGCATATATATATATGCTATAATGTGTATATATATATGCTATATATATATATAAATGGTCCATAACTGCCATCTGCTATTATAGTGGTGTTGCTCGCCAGTGTTGTGGCTCCCTGCCTGTAACTGTCTACATTGAGTAAACTTGCTGTTGAGCAAAGTACTGTTGCTAGTGAATATTTAATCATTTACAATCTAAAGCTAAGCTACTGTTTACAACCTTTATCTGCATCTGTCTCTCTACATCTCTCCCTCTTTTCCTCCACAGAGCCTCCACATAATGTGTCCATCAGCTTTGTTGATCACTCTGGGCCGATGTTGGAGGGTCATCAGTACACTCTGCAGTGTACAGTACTGGATGTTGCTCTTGTTGAAAACCTCACCGTGACCTTCTACAGAGGACAGATAGCACTGGGTCAACTGCAGTCCAACAACGCAGAGAAGACATCAGTGAATGAGACCTTCACTTTAAACATCACTCCCAGTAGTGAAGATGATGGAATGCAGTACTGGTGTGAAGCCGAGCTAGAACTGGGACCTGATGAACCACAGCACCCTTCAGTGGTGACGTCGCGAAACATCACCGCCACTGTCTACTGTGAGTCTGTCAACAAATTCAACCATGGCTGGGCAATGATATAACCATATTATTCCCCAACCTTTATTTGAATTTTATCATGATAATTTGATCATATTTGATTAATTTTTTCATATTTGAGCAAATTTTAATTTACTGTTTTTAATTTACTTTAACTGTTGTGCACTAAAAACATAAAAATACATAACAGTGAGTCCAACAGTAAAACAGGTTATTTGAATGTTGTATTATCAACATATTAGCTTCAGACAGCTATTTGCTAGCTATCAACAGCTTTAATAAAAACAAAAAACATGATGAAGAGCTCCAACAAGTGAATTTGCTGAGTTGTTTCTTTGGTTACAGATCTGACAAAATGGAGGATACAGAATGTTTAACTGAAAAATATGTTTCCTCAAGGAAATGACCCCTGCCAAGAAACACTGCCCCTGTAAAACCACAACTTCTTTTTACAATTTAGTTTTTTTGTTTTTGTACAGGTTAAACAAACAAATTATATATGGGCTATCTGTATACTTGTGTATAATGAGTTTTAAAGGTGTTAGTTGGCAAGTTTTAAATAATAAAAATCTTTGATAAAAGCCAGGCTAGCAAGTCTTTATTCAAAGCTAATCAAATTGTCTTGGGGCTCCAGCTTTATATTTAAAGGACAGACCTGAGAGTGGTATCAATCTTCTCATCTTACTCTATGCAAAAGAGTAAGAAAGCAAATAAGCATATTTCCCAAAATGTTCCTGCACTGTTCCTTAGTTCTTGTTTACATTTTGTGAAGAGTTTACATTTTACATGCCATTGTGTAGGCCTTAGCCTACATTTACCATATACAGTAGCCAAGAGATACAGTAGGCTATGTATTGTAACTGAAAAAACATTTTTTCTCCCCCTAACTGATTAAAAATAATACAGTGGACCAAGTATCAAAACCTTGCTGTCATACAAGACATAAACAAGCATATAACAGTGCACATTACTCAGGGAGACTTTCAAACAGTATACTTTCTCATCCTTACATTAGTCGACCACTTATTTACTTATTTGCCTTTGGCTTTAATGAAACATGTAGTTATTCTTAATTTATACACCACAGATAAACCTCAGCTAGATCATCCATCATATCCAGATCCAATCACCGTCCCATCAGGACACCGTCTACAATTGACCTGCTTGGCCGCGGGAAACCCCAGCCCCTCGTATGCCTGGACTCGCCCAGCTAGACTTTTCTCCTTCGAAGGCAGCGTTCTCACTATCAACTCTGTTGCTTTTGAGGATGAAGGGCAGTACATCTGTTCTGTCAACAACAGCGTAGGGACTATCACTGTGTCATTTAATGTGGATGTCAAGGGTAATGCATACAAATTCATAGTCATGATCATGGCAGTAGGAGTTGTGCTGGTTATCATCATCACCATTGTCCTCTTCATCGTCTTCAACTTTTTATTAAGGCACAGCATGTATTTATAATTACGTTTCAAAATGGCACAATGAAATCAGTTTTCAGCGTAGACTGATAGAAGACAGCCTGCTGTGGTACTACTTACTTTTCACAATATAATTTTCTGATATTTTATCAGTAGAGTGTGTTGACTGTAATCTCCCAAGTGAGAAGTGTTTAAAATGATAATTTCTGCCTCTCTATCTTTCTTTAATCAGAACCAGGGCTGTGCCTACCATTGAGGACACTGTGGAAACTGTAGTATTGTAGTATTAATAGCAGTAGTGGAGTTGGTGTACTTAAATTTGACTGTTTATTTACCTGTTTTCCAAACTGCTTAATGTAAAGGATACATGTTAAATGCTTTGCTTTGCTTAAATAAAATATAGTTTAAAGAAATAAACTTAAATGATTATGATAATTTAAATGAGGAAATTTATGACCAAAGAATAAGTAAACACAGCTTAACAATCTGTCTAAGCATTCAGTACCAACTTGACACTTTTCAATAGATGCACCAGATGTATTTTCCACTGGTACTCAGAATGTATTGAATGTATTATAGAATGTATTGAGATTCAATTTACATTGTTAAAAAGTACTCTGACTTTTTCCACCATAATTTTATTCCTGTGGAGAAGGCTTACAAACACAGTTTAGGCCTCATATTAGGAAAGAAAATAATGTGCAGTAATCTAAATTACAGCTTTGAAAAAATGCAAGTATTGGAGGGACTCCTAAGTATTTCTAAAATCCTGGCAGTGGTCCTGCTCAGAACATACTGTAGTGATAGTGATAGATAAGTAACAATATATTAGGCTATATTTTATTAAAAGTTAAATAAACAAAAAGGAGGGAAAACACTGTCAATAAGTATTATGTCACTGTCATATTTGTTTTTCCTGTCTTTGTTTTTTATTCAGTTAAAAAATATTTTCATTATTCCTGTAAATCATTCGTTATTCGGAATAAAAGTGAAATTAATAACTTCTCTTGAGTCAATATTACAATCAAAGCCTAATTAGTGTGCAGTTACATAATATTCCAAATCTATTTACTCTCATTGAAAAGTTGAATAATTCCCATCTCTGAACAGGACAAACTTGATTTTGCTCTTGTACCAAAGTTTTTAGGGATTACCTCACTGTGTAGTTGGGTGTTTAACTGTGTGGTGTTGGGCAGTGTACTGTTTTCCTTTTGTCCCTGAAGGTACAGCGCCCGTAAGCCAGATTGGGAGCACCTGGGCCAGACGCTGTGGGAAGATAAATATTCCGGCCCTTTGCTCTCGAGCTGTCCCTCTGATCTGGTCCCGCAGCAGCAGCAGCAGCAGAATTATTATTCCTTTGTTTTGTTACATTATGTTTGTTACCACTCCTCAACACCCAAGCTCCGTACTTGTCACTCATCCACATCTACACCACTGATTTCACTGACTAACACACTCTACATCGTTGATTATTAGTTTAGTTATATAAGTTGTTACAATAAATATGTTTATTGTTGGCAATCCTCCGTGTCCTCTCTGTATTTGTCATGGCCTTTGAGTTGGGTTATGACATCACTTACTATATAATTTACAGCATTTAGGGCTTCCTTTTATTTTTACTAATTACATTATTTATACCATGCTGTGGCACAGTTTTGATGGTTCCTCCCCAAAGCAGCAGGTAGCAGTCAGTATTGCTGTCTACCACATTGTCTTAATTCAGACTACCACTGGGAGGCGCCACAGTCAGTATATTTATGTAAGTAATTATTTGACTTTGAACAGTAATAAAATATTATGACATTTTTTTAATAAAACATTAATTTCCTCTATACTGTTTTAAATTTTAAACATTTGTAACAAAACAATATGATAGATTATAATCACAGGTAAAGTTATCAACAGGGATATTTTTTTTCTGGTCTCTTGTACTGATGTGTTACCTAAAATTACTTGATGTTGAAGCACTGAGCTGATCTCAAAAGCAGCAATGAGAATTGGTAGGTTCAATATACTCACGATGCAAATTAAATTAATAATGTAACCAGGTAGACCTGACTAGGGGACTTTAATGTCATTCATTGTTTATTACTTTTTAAAAGCCATGTAAAGAAAAGTGCTGTCAGGAAAGGAAGATGTGAGACCTTAAGTTTTAGTTGGCTTTAAGAATACAAGAAACATCAATACCTGGTGATGCAGGCTGATAATGGATCTACAGTGTGAGACAGTAAAAATCATCCACATATTCCCTTAAAACTGATTTTATGAGTTTAAGATGCAGCTTCTTTGACTAAACTATGACCCTACTGAATACATGTGACAGTACCCACATTGCTGTCATCGCTGATTTATATTTATGTGGTGGTTCAGCTGAAATTCATTCCTGTTTCCTGTCCAGGTCACACTGTGCTGTAACCCTGAAAGCCCCCCCCCCCCCTCTAGCACTTGAACGTCACCCAAGGTCAACTTCTTCTGAATAAACTTTAGCTGGCTACATTTACTTCTTATTTCACTTCTGTTATTTTGCAGAGCTGGAAAACATGTTCTAAATACGTCATGGCATGGTGTGAACAAAGAGCTCAAGTGCGTCACCTCATACTTCAGTGTAATTCTATCTAAAAACATCCATCAACACTGTTATTTTGCTTTGAGGCCTAAATTGAAAGTCAGTTTGTCAATACAAACCTAATAATTTAATTTTAATAATGGTAAAATGGAAAAGATAATTTGCCAATATCTAAAATATGTAAAGATAACCAAAGACAATTCTTGATAATAATTTGTTAACATGTGACTCCTAGTTTATATTTCGCATGAATCCGGGGGAGATAACGAAGGCAAGTATAAAGCCAGGTCCTGTTCAGCCTGTTGCTGTTTATGTTAAGTGTCAAACTGTTATAGCTCACTGTCTCCTGCTCAGACTATATCTTTACTGCCTCACCTTGACCCAAAGAACAAGTTCTTAATAAACAAGTAGAGGCTTAGTAAGGCCGATAAGTAATTAAATAACATACACTGAGATTAACCACTGACTTTTGACCTGTGTGGATAGCAACTGCCTGTTGAGCCAGCCAACCGGCTGAGGTAGACTTAATTAGGGTAAGGTAAGGTAAAATGCTGATAAAATGCTCCTTGATTTGGTAACCTCTTTCTGTTTTTGTGTATTTATGTGTTTTAATTTGCACTAGTGTCATTTTGTTGTTAAGAATCTGTTGGAGAATTTAATGTTTATTTACACTATGTTTTATGTCTGTCTTTTAACATCTTGGGACCACTTTAGAAATGTGAAGGAACAGTTTAACATTTTGGGATATACACTTTCACAGCCAGCCTGGCTCTGTCCAAAGGTAAGCAAGTACAGTATGTCAACCAGCACGTCCAAAATGTTACTAACTAACAGGTTATATAATTTGTTTATTACATAAAAAAACCAAAATGTAAAAACTACACTAAAAATGAAGCAACAGCCAGCAGCAGGTAAACATAGCTTAGCATAAAACAAAATCAACCTACCAGCACCTATAAAGCTCACTCACTATTTAAATCTCTTTTGTTTATAGAAACTGAAGTGGAAAAATAACACACTGCGGTTTCAATGAGTGGCCATATGCCAACTACTCATTTACCCATTTTGACACAGCATTTCAATGGACTAAACCAGTGGTTCTCAAACTGGGGGAGTGGCACCACAGGGGGATATGGGTTTTAAGCAGACCTAAAGTTACATGAATGTAGCTGATGTGGTGGCATAAACAAAAAATGCTCTGATACAATCAAGGCTAACCTGAATCTCTTGTTTTATTTAAGTCTGAAATGAAATGAAAATGAAATCCCCTTTTTCTGGAAACAGGGGGCTTGAACTTTTTTCAGGTTCTAAAGGGGGACGAAACAGAAAAAGTTTGAACGACTGGACTAAACAAAGAGAACCAAGATATAATGTAGCCTATTAATGAGAGAGGACTTTGTTATGGTTAGACAAAACAGGCTAGCTGTTTCCATCTGTGGCGAGAGTAGTATTCTCTCCACTTAAGAAGCCAGCAAATAAGCATTTTATAAAGAGGTAATTTGAAGAAAGTGATTCTGGTAAGGGTTTGGTTTAGATAGTATCCTTTCACTGACATATCACAATTCACTGATGGCTTTCTGCAGCAGTTATGTAGCTGATTCAACTGGGCTGACAGCCAAGCTCCATTAAAATATCTGCCTCTGATATAGTCCTGGATTCCTCAAGCTGGAGGGGGATGGGAGCAGAGGAGAGGAAAAACACAAAATAACTAGGCGCCAATGAGGAATTGGGGAGTGAAAACGGGTGGAAATCCAGAATTTGTGCTGTATAAAGGGAGGATATGAGAAGGGGAAAATGTGACTAAAAGTTCTTCAAGCTCAGGATATGAAAGCAAATTAATGAGCATACCGTTTTCCTACTAAAGGGGGGAAGGGCTCTCAGGAAGGAGATGAGATGAGTCTGCTGCCAGACCACTAAAATCCCTCCAACATGCGTGTCCACCAAAAAAACTGCCATACTTTCAGCTCTGTTGCTTGTGTGTAGACTACTCCTTCAGATAGTAGGTTATGTGTAGGCCTATAGCTATTTTACCGCGTGTGAACCTGAAGTTCTGTGCGTTTGAAAACTGACTCCGGATCAGTCATCGTCTGCTGACAGTACCATGCTGGGATTTCCCAAAAGCTCCAGTGCATCGGGAAATCCGCCCTGGTTGCTAGTTTCAATTTCACTTCCTTTCTAATAACACCATGGCGATACGCATTTAGCATAGAGACGTCCCTTTTCTAGAGAAAATAATAAAGGGAGGACTTTTGGAGTTTTTTTACTTTCAATTTCAGTCGCACTCTCAGGACTCGTTTTGTATTACCGGACTGCTCGCTTGCTCACAAGCCCTACTGGAAATCATGTTTTTCTGTTACATATTTTTGTTTGTTCCTTTGCTGACTTTTCTGCACGACGTCCGTGTTTTCAGTTGCAGTAAGTTTTCCTTATGTGCTATGGACTGAAATGTGATTTTATAGGCCGCCTTTGAAAGCTGTTTAAGCTCCCTATAGATCAAGCTTTTATCATTAGAGGTGCGCTTTATGGACAGGCCATCAAATGCAGCTTAGTGTTTTGCTGAGGTTTTATTTTATTTTGTCTTTTATGTTCTCAGGACTTGTACTTTAGCAGATGGAGTAGTAGCCTACATAAAAAAAACAAATGAAATAAATCTCCTCTTGTCATATGGGCTCTATTCTTTTAATTTTGAATTGTTTGTTAACCAAAAATATCCTAATATTTATTTTAGTATTGTTTACAATATAGTGTAAGTTATAATGTGTTTTAAACATTTGTTTTTTAGTGTATATATAGGCTAGTTAGTGTTCTAATGTACAAACCATCTTTCTTTTTTCCCATTCTGAATATTGTA